ACACTAACCTTTTCAACGTTACGAATTTGTTTTACAATACATCAGTTCATGTGTAAACTGTACCTTTAAACAGTATTGAATATTTTGCAAAATCTTGTACAGAACAGTTGACTGAAGTAAGTGGTTACATTAATTTTCCACTAGTGAGTCTAAACTATTGATGTGTAGTACATGTATATATAATTTAATATGCCGCTAATGTTCCGTTTTCAACACTCTGGTATGTTCTCGCGTTACAACGTAATACTGAAAAAGCAAACCTAGTGTCATTCTGAGTTTTATGACATCATTGAAACTCCGCTAGCATGGGTACGGTACTGCCAGTCTGGGGTTTGGACCCACGATCATAGGTTTCCTGCACATCTAAAGGATACAACTCCCCCAACTAAACCCAAGCAGAAAACGACGCCTTGACAAGTATGCTCCACCGTAAAACGGAGAACGGTTACCGTTGCCATGACAGCAGGGTCATTGTTCACGCTTTCTCATTTGAAGTCATTTCCCAAATGAATGTATAGTTTATATCAAATAAAAACAAGTCGAAGTAGTTTCAGTCTCTTTTAATGACTGACAAGAGACTTGAAACCCAGATCAAGTATACAGTTAAAACAGTTACATTAACTCAATGAAGCTGCAAGTCTGCACCAAAACATCCTGAATTTTGCGCTGCGCATTTATCAACGGAAGTCAATTACTGAACTATCGATAGTCACACATACTATCGATGCATCGATAGGTTTTCGTTTCTACCATCTATTAATTGCTATTGGAGACTGAACTATTTCTGACTACGGTATGAAACAACAACCACTCGCTCATCCTAAGATATATGTATGTACATGAAGACAGGAATATGTTTTCAATAACAATATCCCGTGTTTCTGTGTCTCCACTCTGTGGCTCGTCCATGGACCTCTGATGTTCAAGATGATGTAATCTGATACATTATAGATAATCCTGCTTGATGCTTTAGTCGTCCCAATTCGCCCACACTGAGCTCCTGCTCAGGGATCCTATTCTGCCTTGATATATTCGATACAAGGATTACAATGACATTAAGGTATGGATCTCCAACGTGATGAGTATTCGTGGCCGTGGTATTTGGAGATATTAGGTTAGGCAGTTTAACCCGGTGAGCTGGCACCAATGCATCACCTAATGTATCGGAATTTCATAATAGCGACATTATGGTTGTATAATACAGCCTAACACGATTAGAACGTCTAGTGGCTGCTAAGAAGCTATATCAAGTGTGTGTTTGGCTATTTCTATGGGGTTATTGGGTCAATGGTAATGACAACCAATCACATACTTATGATAAAGTAACACATGCCTGTTTTAAAGTCGGAATCATAATCCGACTTTTCTTTTAGTGGCAACTGTCCAAGACGTGCCTTCCTGAGTTTTTTCCTGTCCACCTTCACAGAGATGAAATAGCTTAAATGCTGTTCAAATTCCTTTTAGAGTTCTGGAAAAAGATCGACAAAACCCTTTTCCAGAATCATAAAAAATCTTTTCTTAAAGACACGGTTTAATATGTATTATATTGCAATGTTAATAACATTACACACCAAGTATGCTGTTATATTAATACTTGCACACTACGCATAGCTACCATATCTGTCTCTTTTCCGGTCCATATATTACAAATATAGTAAGTTCTAATGTTGAGACCTGAGATGTTACATATATTTGATAGTTTGAGTAAAGTATATATTTTAGAGCATATTTGGTGAGAAATGTTACTTACATTACAATATATGCGTTGAAGCCCGAATTGCAACAATACTAGAAAAGAGACGGTTTGTATTGAACCGAGGCTGATCCTTCTTAGGTGTCCTTAACGCCGCTGTGCCTACAGAAAGGGCATCAACTTCACCGTATGATAGTTTCAATTGCATCTTGTGAAGGACATCAATAAAGGTTGAAGCAAATAATGGCTTCCTTCTTGACATTGCTACCGAGGTCAGAGATCTGGCGATGGTGAAGCTTCGATGATTCCCCAGAACTAATTAATTTGTTGCTGCCTAATATTTATCTGTCTAAAAGCAAGAACTACTGGAATGACCTCATCGAACGTTTGGAGTGGAGCCAATGCATGGATTCATACATTCTTGATGAACATTTTGATGAGTTTTCTCCCCTTTGCGTTCTATCATTCCTTGCTGTACATAACGCAGAGCCGGAGTTTGTGTTTATGTCAACCCCACTGTAGTAAGTCTTCTCAGTGACCCCCAACATACTCTTCACATTCCCTGTCCAAAATATAAGTTGAACAGTTTAAATTTGGCGTTACAAAATATACGTAAAGATTCCTGCGTTGACTTTAGGCGAAGAAGAACTTAGAAATAGCGAATTATTTTGTTGAGGGCATTAAACAATGGCATAGAGCTATATCCACAGAGGCTTGAGCTAGTTAATGTCCTATTTCCAATGTCAGAATCAGAATTTCTTATATTTCTTCATATGGTAATGAGTGGTCGGCAAAAGACTGCTATTTCAGTTTGCATTCAACAGGAGAAAGACCATTTTGTTATTTTAGAAATGTTAGCAATGGGGAAAGTATAAGCTTCGTGGGTTCAGAGCTTCTGACATCTAACAAAACACCAGGCACAACATATTAAGTGGATGATCTAGCTCTGTTTGAAGCTGATCCAGAAAGGTTCTTGCCAGGATGTGTGAACAGTCAATAAAATGGACATTACGACCATCTAATATGGCAACGACTGTCCTATAAGCATGAAAGGTGTCTGTATTCATGGATGTCGTGGTTGTAGTCATGGTGGACCATATCATATGTAGAGGCTGCATGGCGTCTTGTAGTACTTCGGCGGCAATTACGAGATGAAACTCAGATTGAGAGTAAACGTGTGCTCACCCATCGGGACAATACACCAGTGAACGAAAAAGTCATTGCCATGGCTGCAACCCAGTGTTGCTTAGTACTTCTACCTCATTCAAACCTTTCCCCAGATCTAGACTTTAATCTATTATAAAACGTGTAGATCTCAAGCCGTGTTGACTCAAAAGATGAATGTTGCATCAGTGTGGGAAAGATGTATACTAGCATTTTTTATCATTCTAATGTCCTTAGCACAAGTCTTTCTGTGTTCAGAAAGTGTCAATCAACCCATTTCAGAAATATTGTGCTTTGCCATTTGACTATGTGAAACAGCTCTCAAATCATCATGGCCGGAGTTTCAGTGTCGAATGTCTTTGTAATCATATTTCCAGTTTACGGAACCTGAATAGGAACTTCTTTTATACCCAAAACGTGTGACCTCCCGAATTCCCACAACATGGAAGCTTTCTAATATTATGTTGTAGGACATTGGCCTTTGGTGCATGTTTCTTTGAAGCGAAGAGATCTGTTTCTGGAAATGTAATTGTCAGCGTGTCTGTTTTTGGGACCCGTTTGAGGACATATTGAAGCCCTGCATGAGTCCCAAATTAATGTCCTTGTTGATTGTGATCTTGAGGAGGAGGAGGAGGCCATACGTTCCTCAAAGTTTTCAGGTTAATTGTTCTCCTTTTCACCGGCACCTTTTGTTGATCACCCTTTTGATGGGGATTCATGGACTCTTGACCATGGGAGTAATATAGTAAATATTGAAAAGTAATATTGATAGAGTTGTGTTGTGTTTTGGGCAGGCATTTCTTGTGGATTTGGAGTTTTTTGTCGCTTTTGTTTAGAGCTCAAGGATATGTACATTGTATACCGTTTCGCAGTGTGTTAGAATATATTTTAAGAGTATAGTTATATGCAATCTTTTATGATGATAAAGTCAATAAATATGTAATCATTATCTTTTAGTAGCCTAGGGAAAATACGTTTCCGCGAATCAAAATATTCTGTTTCTTGTTCGCTCACGTCACATATGAGGCATGCACTTCGATCAAAATAATACAAAATGGATTTCGCTCATAAACGTATTCAAATTGCCAAAAACAGCATAACAAAACTTTAATGTCATTGTTTTCTCTAATTCACATATCATATTTGACCTTATCAGTTAACATCGCAATTAGCAGTGTGGGCAGAAAATAGAACATACAAGCTCATATTGGCCCATGTATCCGAACTGGTGGTATTTAAGAAGGTAATACACTCGTGGGATTCAAGTATATTCAGTCAGTAAGTGTTATAGATTTTTTCTTATCGAAATACGTTCTCATTTTGTATGCCTTTGGCTATAAAATATACTTGCTGCTATCCGTGGGTGTTGTACACGATGATCGTAGGTGTGAAATTTGATTGTTGCTTTGTCGGAACGGCTGGTAATCTGATCCTGCTCCAACGTCAGAGGTTTCAATATATCGTCAATTGAGAGGGATTCACCATTCGAGTCTACACATATTAATCGAATTTATGTTTTATTTCATAAACTTGCAACAACGTTCACATATTACTTAAGGATATCACGTGTACACAGTTTGTCCAGCATTGTGGTACCACCTTGTGTAAAGGGGGAAATAGCTGTGAAAATTATATGAATGCATCAATGGAAATCTGTGATGACACCAGGTGTTCACGAAGTTAATTGCTTGTTAGTTAATTGGGGTTTTTTCCAGTAAATTGTGAATCGAGGGCACATTTCGCTTTCTGGAGTTATCTCCCTTTAGAGCGCCAGGAACCTATGTTTGTGGGTTCGAATCCCCATTCGCCCTGAAGAGGATTCTAGGTTTGTCAGCACCAAACCCGTGCTGTTTGGTTTCACCACAGTGGTAAACACCCGCTGAAAGTTAATTCACTCACTGATTCACTCAATCACTCAATCAATCATTATTTCATAGTAATTCATAAAGACGTGCTAATTACACAGTCACAGTCGTAAATGAACTCTGCTTGGAGATATATGTCTAATGTTCATGTGACAGGTATTTGCTGCTGGTATTTGAGGAAGAAGCGAAGTTTCGGACACATCGACTCCTTTAATGTTTGACTGATGTTCGTAATAACCGATGATATTTGTTATCACGAATGTATTTCTCTGTTGCAGGTTTACCACGCGGTGTAGCAGAGTCAGATACAACCAATTCAGAACTCACAACAGATGGTAAAGCCTTACAGTACTATGACCTTCAGCTGTTTTAGTTATGTCCAGTTCATTCACCCTATCTGCACATTTTGCTGTAAAATGCGACTACATCCAGTGTGTCGTTGTTTGTATCGCATCGTGCTGTCTTACGTAGCCTGTGCCCCTGTCTCTCTGTTGCCTCCCTGACCCAGTGGATAGAGCAGAGTGGAACGTCGGTGGTTCGATTCCCGGCACCGTCGTGCTGAAAGACGTTAAACAATGATACTTCTTGTTACCTTGCCTAACGATCGTCCTTAAAACAATAAAATGTATAATGTGGCATTTCACTTGAGTGTCAGTATAAAGGCGAAATCATGCAGGACTAGTCCTAACACATACGCTATATTAGGGCAACTTCTGAATCCGATGTTAAACCCCAATTTACCTCAAATCTCACCATCTCACCTCACCATCTCACCTTACCAATTCACCTCACCATCTCATCTCACCATCTCACCTCACCATCTCACCTTACCATCTCACTTCACCATCTCACCTTACCATCTCACCTCACCATCTCACCTGACCATCTCACCTCACCATCTCACCTTACCATCTCACCTCACCATCTCACTTTACCATCTCACCATACCTTTCTGTGTTTCTGTGTGTATGGCTCATTTATTCTTTCTATATACTCTCTGCCTCTCTGTGACTTCTTTCATGGCTGCCCAATCAACAATTCGCTTTGCGTAGTAGCGCCCTTTACTCGCATGTGTTGACAGAATCGTCATGATTGTTTCCTGTTTCTATGCACAATGACCCTGGGTTTGGGTTTCATCTAAAACTTGAAAGTCCTACCCTCCTACATTTCTTCCCCGTGACGACCGGGAGTTACCACAGAATCATTTGCCTTTGGTGACTGACATGTATGTTGTTGTATACCACGCTAAGACCTTATTCGGCATTCTTTGTTATATTTACAGAGCCAGAAGACCCGGATGGACCAAGACCTGCGCCAGATTATATCATATATTTAGATGATCTCCCCTGTCTCCTAGCAACTATAAATGTAACACTACGAATAAATTATAAAGCACAGTCGGGAATTTTCAATGAGGTAACTAATCCAGAGTGAGTGAGTGAGAGAGAGTATTCTTTTGCACTGACGTTTTGTATTTTGTGCAGTACAGTGAATCAATATTTTAATGAAGGGTAAAATATAAAAATATCTGCTAAAACAGTCCTTGTACAATGCCGGCTAGTCTTTTATCATAAACATGCACTGCTAATGATGCTAATAGCATTAAAATGAGCTCGTATTCTGCACCATTGGTGACACATGGCATAAATACAAGCAAAGGCAGGTCAAATATCCACCGAACAATCCTGGGAACAGTCAGTACAAAAATAAGTCCAAATATGAAAATACGTAGGATTATCAGTTTTGGTCACTGCGTCCACACACTCCATATACCACATGGGTACAATGTGTGAAGCCCATTGCGGGTGTCCCCCGCCGTGATATTGCTGGAATATTGCTAAAAGCTGCGCAAAACGTGACTGACACACTCACACACCATATATATATAGTTTTATGAAAGCTTTGCTGAGGTCTTGGATGTTGTAATACTGCTCAAATAACTCTTCAGCCAGAGTTGTATGATGCTCTTTGCAATGTCTGTATGAAGGGCAGGCAGGATTGAACCTCACACGTTGTGAACATTTAAAAGCTGTTGGAATATTGCTCGACATTGTTGACATGTTGTCTGTTATCCTTCTTGACATACATTCTTACTGATTGTTTATTCGTTAATAACAGATATTTCTGAGGTACATTCCACCTCAACATTTTGTTAGCATTCTCCGATTGTGTTCGCAGGTTTACAATAAAGAAGTGCTTTTGTCAATGGACGAGGACGCCGTCGTGAACGGCAGTTGCGAAGGCAACGTCAGTTTCCTGTCGATGATGTGGTGGGACGGGCTGCTGGGGCTCAACTTCACCTTTGTAAAAGAGGTCAGACACTTTTCAAATCGGTTTTGTCCCTGCGCCATGTCTTTTTGTGAAGATAGGCACCGTCGGTAGAGTGGTAACATGTTTACATCCAGGCTGCTCGAAAACTAATAAATTAGCAGCAGCATGGATTCATTTGAGTAACTTTGGTATTCTAGTTTGCATTATCGTTATTAGTAAGATGACAACACAGTGTATATGTAGACAAAATATGATTCAGAACACAACATCTCTAGATAACGTATAAAACAGATCAAAATGAACATGACTTAGCATAGCTATTGACTCAGGAAAATGTAGATAACATATGAATAAAAAACCAAGGAATATGCAGATGATGTGTGATTTAAAACAACCCAATGTATATACAGATGTGTAATTCAGGAAACAATGTATATACACATCATGTGTGTTTCAGATAACAATGTATATTCAAATGGTGTGTGTGTTTCAGGTGAGGTGAGGTGAAATTGGGTTTTACGTCGTGCTTGAGAATATTTCGCTCATATGACGACACGCATGCGTGTGTATGTGTATGTGCGGCTGCTTGTACTAGCCCAGACTTAAACTGGTTTTATAGTGCTAGCCCACTGAGATACCATGCATGAATATACAGATGGTGTGTGATTCAGAAAACATTGTATATTCAAATGGTGTGAGCTGCAGACAACAATGTATATTGAGATGGTGTCTGATTCAGAAAACAATGTATATACAGATGATGTATGATTCAGAAAACATTGTATATTGAGATGGTGTGTGATTCAGACAACATTGTATATTCAGATGGTGTGTGATTCACACAACAATGTATATTAAAATGGTGTTAGATTCAAACAACATTGTATATACAGATGGTGTTGATTCAGACAGCATTGTATATACAGATGGTGTGTCATTAAGACAACAATGTATATAGAGATGATGTGTGATTCAGTGTATTTGAGATTCAGACAATGTATATTCATATGGTGGTGTGTGATTCAGACAACAATGTATATTGAGATGGTGTGTGATTCAGACAACAATGTATATTGAGATGGTGTGTGATTCAGACAACAATGTATATTCAGATGGTGTGTGATTCAGACAACATTGTATATTCAGATGGTGTGTGATTCAGACAACAATGTATATTCAGATGGTGTGTGATTCAGACAACAATGTATATTGAGATGGTGTGTGATTCAGACAACAATGTATATTGAGATGGTGTGTGATTCAGACAACAATTGTATATTCAGATGGTGTGTGATTCAGACAACATTGTATATTCAGATGGTGTGTGATTCAGACAACAATGTATATTGAGATGGTGTGTGATTCAGACATCATTGTATATTGAGATGGTGTGTGATTCAGACAACAATGTATATTGAGATAGTGTGCGATTCAGACAACAATGTAAATACAGATGGTGTGTGATTCAGACAACATTGTATATTGAGATGGTGTGTGATTCAGACAACATTGTATATTCAGATGGTGTGTGATTCAGACAACATTGTATATACAGATGGTGTGTGATTCAGACAACAATGTATATTGAGATGGTGTGTGATTCAGACAACAATGTATATTGAGATGGTGTGTGATTCAGACAACAATGTATATTCAGATGGTGTGTGATTCAGACAACAATGTACATTGAGAGGGTGTGTGATTCAGAAAACAATGTATATACAGATGATGTATGATTCAGACAACATTGTATATTGAGATGGTGTGTGATTCAAACAACATTGTACATTCAGATGATGTATGATTCAGACAACATTATATATTTAGATGATGTATGATTCAGACAACATTATATATTTAGATGACGTGTGATTCAGACAATAATGTATATTGAGATAGTGTGTGATTCAGAAAACAATGTATATACAGATGATGTATGATTCAGAAAACATTGTATATTGAGATGGTGTGTGATTCAGACAACATTGTATATTCAGATGGTGTGTGATTCACACAACAATGTATATTAAAATGGTGTTAGATTCAAACAACATTGTATATACAGATGGTGTTGATTCAGACAGCATTGTATATACAGATGGTGTGTCATTAAGACAACAATGTATATAGAGATGATGTGTGATTCAGACAACAATGTACATTGAGATGATGTGTGATTCAGACAGCAATGTATATTCATATGGTGTGTGATTCAGACAACATTGAATAAACAGATGGTGTGTGATTCAGACAACAATGTATATTGAGATGGTGTGTGATTCAAACAACAATGTATATTGAGATGGTGTGTGATTCAGACAACAATGTATATTGAGATGGTGTGTGATTCAGACAACATTGTATATTGAGATGGTGTGTGATTCAGACAATAATGTATATTGAGATGGGATGTGATTGAGACAACATTATATATTGAGATGGTGTGTGATTCAGACAACATTGTATATTCAGATGGTGTGTGATTCAGACAACATTGTATATTGAGATGGTATGTGATTCAGACAAAATTGTATATTGAGATTGTGTGTGATTCAGACAACAATATATATACAGATGGTGTGTGATTCAGACAACATTGTATATACACATGATGTGTGATTCAGACAGCATTGTATATTGAGATGGTGTGTGATTCAGACAACATTGTATATTCAGATGGTGTGTGATTCAGACAACAATGTATATTGAGATGGTGTGTGATTCAGACAACATTGTATATTCAGATTGTGTGTGATTCAGACAACATTGTATATTCAGATGGTGTGTGATTCAGACAACATTGTATATTCAGATCGTTTGTGTTTAGGAAGAGAATTTATACTCGTTCCAATAATGGTTGTCACCCCCTTCAATTTGTTTAAATGGAGAGGGTGTGTGGGGTGGGTGTGTGAGGTGTGTGGGGGTTGGGGTGGGGAGGGGGGTTACAACCATTATTGGCATGAGTATATATTCAGATGGTGTGTGATTGATGGTGAGTGTTTAGGAAAACAATGTACATACAGGCGGTGTGTGATTCAGAAAACAAGGATATGCAGATGGTGTGTGATGATTCAGTATTCAATTGGCATTAGTCAGCACAAACGATATGATCATACCAAACTCGGGGATTATATTACATAATCGTTAATTGTTTGTTAAATATAGCAGTTACGATTTCTTTACATTTATAATCACACTGACGCATCTTCCAGAGAATGCCATATGGCCATTCCACGTTACAACAATAAAACCGTACCTACATGAATCCAGTTTAAACACGATATACAGTGTTTGATAATTGATATTACATTCAATTAAAACACAATTGCAAAACGAACAGATTGTGGGAATCATATTTCGATATGAATATACATAATGAACAGAAATAATTACAGTAATCACACTGGGAATTAGTTACGCCATGAACAATTCATACATATGTTTGTATGAATTCATGCGTGATGGTATATATAATTTGATAAATGGGTTATTTAGAGTTCTTCTTTGTTATACTACTACATCTGTCACAGAACCAGCAACTCCATCTTCAGCGAGTGGAGTCACCACCATGGGTATAAAGGTATTTGGTTCAAATATCCTGTCGTTCGATCTTACATCAAATGTTACCTTGTGGTAACGAGACGGCCTGGTCGTGGGTATGATCAGTACCATCGATCTCTCTGTATTCATGCCAGTTAATTTTAGACCATAAATGCTCGTTATTTTCCTATTGTTATTCAACCATAATTCTTTATTTGGGGACGCACATTATGCAAATTTAATGACACTTGTCGCCTGTGCCAAAATTGATCCGACACATTTATGAGAGACTAACGAATTACAAAGAACAAAAATATGAAAGCTGTAACGCAATAACAGTCATAAATGACACGATGATGTGCAAAACTCGGGGGTGAAGTCTGTCGCGCTTAATCACGTCCCGATAAAACTAATTATCCCATGTTTCATTTGTTCTTGGGGAAAATTACGGGTAACAGAAAGATAATGAATTATTACTAATAAAGATAAATACAATGTTTGTGATGGTGAAAGTGTGTAATACGGGACTCTATGATAACGTTCTGAATAATGTCTGTAGCGTAACACGTAGCTAAATATACACTGCATGTTAACATTTGGCTATCTGATTGGAAATCAACAATGAAGAGTAACACTGACACGCGTTGGATCTGTATTAGCTGTTATTGGGGTACAGACAGCGCCAGAGCGTGTTGTCAGAGTTATTCCCCTTAGTCGTTGGTCATGGGTTCGATTCCAAGAATCGTTACGTTTATGACTCTTGGTTGGTTAGGTTTACACCTGAACATGTTGGCGTTAGTTAAGTGTGTAAACGGATGTGCAATCCACAGTTGTATTCCACACACATAATTTCTGTGTGTACGTCACGTCGTCATATGAGCGAAATATTCTAAAGCACGACGTTAAACCCAATTTCACCTCACCTCACCTGTGTGTACGTAATATAATATTGCTTAGAAAAACCAAAGGGTTGATGAGCCATGCAGGTACAATGACATACAGTCAATCGAGACACCTGGCACAATTATGTGGTCTCAGGTCACAGCGTGATAGTGGCCTATTGTCAGTGTGGTGTTGCCAAGCCAATGATCAGTGTATGTTTTATTTATTTGTTGTTTAACGCCACACGCAGCAATTTTCCAGCTATATGACGGCGGCCCAATTGATTCTGGGCCAGACAATCCAGTGATCAACAGCACGAGCATCGATCTACGCAATTGAGATACGATGACATGTGTCAACCAAGTCAGCGAGCCTGACCACTCGATCCCGTTAGTCGCCCTTTAGGACAAGTATGGTTTAGTAAATAACCCGGATCTTCACGGGTGTAGTGATCGGGGACACATGTGTAAATTGTATAATAGTCTCTCACCTTCACTGTAAAGTCTCCAAATGCAACCGCTAAAAACCGAGAATACATTGGGCGATGTAGAGTAGCTACGCTCACAGTAAACGAAAGTCGGACTCAAATAGTTACAACTGATCTCTGTGTCTAAAATCTTTGTTTCTCTGACACCTGGTGTCAGTGATCCATCCATATGATTTTCACTAATATTACTCCACTTACACCAAACGGAATTGTTTTCTAAGAATAGCCAAGACCGGGTATTTTTTTGTATTGACGTTCTCTCTATATATTTCAAACTTTCACCGTCTAAGCCTAAACTCAGAATGAAACCACCATATTGCTTGGAGTACATCGGACTGCAGGATGCTTCACTTGAAGCTGTTACTCCACCCAACATCATCAACTGCCGTCACTGACAATGTGTTATTTCACTCCTGGTTCCTAGAAAGTAATGAGAATACTCACAAAATCACTTGTGTTGTGGTTGTTGTTATTCTTTGCCTGTGATTGTGTTTGTTCCCATTCAGGAGACGCCGGTATCAAAGAACATAGTAGAAGGCCAATGGTGGGCTAGAGAAATCCACCTCTCCTACGATACTTCCAACAGCTCCATATTCCCAGAGGCTATACAAGGTAGGCTTACAACACACAGCCCAACACCTATAACTCACTGCCCATGTCTCTACTACAATCTAACCTCTACAGGTTTTCACTGCTGTTGGTTATATTTATCGTCTATACATTTGTTCTATCTAGAGCCTAAGAACATCTTGCCGGGAAGGTCCTTTTAATCACATTACTAGTGAAAGGGCTATGTGCTCTCACTAAGCTAGTCTAGATCTATGAATGACATTGATGGTATATGCAAGTTACCACTTTCCCAAGGAAAGATTAGTAAGTGGAGGCGCCAGTAAATGTGCCACTTCCGTTTGTGTTGATTGCTATTTTTCTTTCATGTGACGAAGAAGCGATCCTTAATAAACCTAATTCGGTTTTCTGTGTCCAAGGCCTAAAAGAAAAATATGTGCAGTGTTTGTGGGCGTAAAACAAACGTTAATATTTCTTACGGAACATACGCAACTGTTACATATCGTTCAACGATCATTCAAAACCTTGCTAAACAAGGCCAGTCTCAAAGTCACCAAGAGTTCCTATTCATACTTCTACATCTGATGATGTGTGTATAAAACGCATTCTGCCGCTCGATGACATCTTTTAAAGTCGGGCTATCGTTATCCAGACAGTAGGAGAATAACAAATAATGAACCTGTCAGTTTCAGGGGGCATTGAAGACCTGGCAAAAGATGACCTTGAACTTTTCAAGTCGCCGTTAGGGATGTCGTTCTTCTGCGATTCACAGGAACGGATAACTATAGGGAGCCGGGAAAATGCCGCCATTGTAGCTTTCCGCCATGTTCATATACAGCCCTTTCTTGTCAAATCAGAAATGTTTTCTCCAGGTTTGTAATACAGGCCATGCTTACATAAGTTTTAAGGGAAGTGGGGTAGCCTAGTGGTTAAAGCGTTCACTGATCAAACCGAAGACCCGGGTTCGATTCACCACATGGGTACAATGTCTGAACCGCTTTATGTATAAAGTTACCGCTTTATGTATAAAGTTACCGCTTTATGTATAAAGCTACCGCTTTATGTATAAAGTTATTCGTTCATTAGTAATCATTGTATGCTCCAAGGTGCTTGAATTATGACTATATTTCGACCAGAACCACTGAAGAAATATTCTGTCATCACATTCTATGTGTGATCACATTCTGTTTGGTTTGGGGCGGTGGGGTAGTCCAGTGGTTAAAGCGTTCGCTCGTCACGCTGAAGACCCGGGTTTGATCCCCCACATGGGTACAATGTGTGAAGCCCCTTTCTGGTGTCCTCCTCCGTTATATTGCTGGAATGTTGCCAAAAGCGACGTAAAAACAAACTCACTCACTCCCTATTTTGTTTGAACTCGTTTCCAGTTTCCAGTTGGATTAAATGACGCTTCGAGTAATATCCCGGCAGAGACGCCGCAATGTTTCCATGGCGGTAATCAACCGGGTAATTTCACATTCCTTGTGATCCAAACATAATGATGAAATAAATTTTAAAACTGCTTCTCATGGCTTGCTGTAACCAGAAATTAATACTGGGCGTCTTACTTCAATTCTTGTATTGGGGGAATCTTTGATCTGAGACCTTGAGCACAGACCATCGTGTCTTTGCGAGGATTAAAGTTTAAAAAAATTTTTGGGAGATAATCCCCAACTCGAAATGCTTCACAATACAATGCATCATGATTTATTCCACTGTGAAGCATTTCGGGGGGTCATCTCAAATTTTTAAAATATATTTTTTAAAATATTTAATCCCCGCAAAGACACGAGGGCCTGTGGCCTTGAGTTGAGCGTGTCGTTTAGAAATAAACACACCAAATTGCATATCTCATCTGTTTAGAGTACGCTTTCACAACCATGCTTCGTGTATTAATCAATCTTCAAGACAAAGGTATCTCAATCGTACAGGGTGAATATGGTAATTTCTTTTTCGCTCAAAACAATGTCACAATTATTCTTTTTAATGATACAATCCAACTGGGTATTGTCAGATATTCATTGTAAAGAATCAAACATATTTGGTAATGATTCAATCATTGAAATAAATCAATCAATCAGAGAAATGCATCAGTCATTCAGTGCAGTTATACAACTCTCCAAGACTCCATAACCCGTGAATGTCTAAAAGTAATGAACGTTCTTCAATAAGGAGCCAATCAGAGCAGGAGATTTTTGACGGTTGGAAATAACACGTTTAGAAATCCGTTCAGCGATACACCAGCAAAACTACTGGATATTTGCTGCAAAGTGTGTCTATCTGTCTGAATTATGGCTTTCCGAAGGTAAAATGATATTGGCACTACTGAACCTTCTGCATGCTTTGATTTGTTTGGTCGGAGGGGCGGTGGGGTAGCCTAGTGGTTATAGCGTTCGCTCATCTCGCCGAAGACCCGGGTTCGATTCCCCCATGGGTACAATTTGTGAAGCCCATTTCTGGTGTCCCCCGCCGTGATATTGCTGGCATATTGCTAAAAGTGGCGTTAAACTAAACTCACAAACATATTCACTTTATTGGTCGGAATGTTGAAAGTCTTTTTGTTGTTTCCTGTGATTGTTCAATTCATCTTTTTAATATTTCCAGCAAGAGTGTGTGACGAGGATGTGGAGATTGTGTTGGACAAGAAAGGAGCCTACCTTGTCCCAGTTATTGTTGCCTGTTGCCTAGGAGCCATCTGCATAATGGTTGTCATTGGATACGCCATTAGTCGCAAAGTGAACAGATACCATGACCAGTCTTCATACAAACCAATGGATTAATGCCACGTCACGTGTAAACCAAAGTTACAACCAAACCAAGACGTTCTGGATTACGAAACAACCACTATGACTATAGGAAAAGAAGCTTCGCATATACTCAGAGTATGTGATACAATTTGATAAGAATTCGCGGGTGAAATGTTAGCTATGATTATTCATTGAGACAATGTGATGCTTCTTATCATAATATCATGGCATCATGTTCTTCAAAATGACACGTTTCATTATAATCCTGTTATTATAATTATGTAAACTAAAGATAAAAAAGAATACAAACACTATTTTAAAAACGGTGAACTTAACATAAAGAAAGAGTTGTATTTCGAAAGTATACTTCAAAAATAAGAATCATGATAACCATAGACTGATATACACAATATTTACCATCAAATGTTAACATCACGGTTCACTAAGATCCATGGGTGAAAATAAATTCGCAAAACAACGCTCATAAAGAAGATTGATTAAGTGTCATCTGAACTGGCATGTCCAACGCCGGAGAGAGATCGGTAGGGGTCTAATGACGTCACCAGAAGTGCTTAAATAAGCAGTAAGAGGGGCCCTGGTGATACTTGAACCAAAAACTTATGTTTCCGTGAAAGAGTGTTCGACTCCCATTCCATATGTGGATGTCTATGGTTGTGATTAGTGTATGCTGTGTAATTATTAACGTAGTACATTACATGACTGTAGAGTTGTAGTGTTAAGTAGAGTGAAACGGTTAGGTAGGTGTATAGTCACGCTAGAACTTGGCTATTGTGTCTCATTCAAACTGGGACAAAGCGGTTGCAATGGTCAAGTTATTGTTATACAGCGTTTCAGATCAAGAGCGAACGTAGTTCAGATCAGTATGATCCTGTAACCACGTAAGATGATGATGATGATGATGATGACGATTTTTCCTTGCAGCTTAAGGCAGCTTATTGTATGTATTTTGCTGAGAAAGTGTCCGTTTAAACTGCTAGAAGGACAGTGTTTAAAGGCGTTTTATGAGTATATTCCCCTTTCTGAAAGTCAGTAACCAGATTCTCTTCTGAATGCAACATATTTCAGCCTTTTGTCTCCTCATCATCTCCATATGAATGAATGTACAATGGTGATTAACTTTAACACCACCAGGAACGGGCAATCTGCATGGTCATTTGTTCAGGAAAGTGACAGTTACAGATCTCAACAATGCTTATAGTACTTTGTTAAAACAACAGCTCAACTGTATGTCCAGGAACATATTTTTTTCTGTGAGACGGATGTGAAGAAATTCTAAGGTGCAAATATCGTATTCCAAACAACCCAGCCATCCACGAACCGAATACACGGTGCAGACTGAAAAATTGATAAAGAATAAGATCAATTCTTTAAGTCTTGATACTGCCCCAACATTACACATACACAAAATCCCTTGTACACACCCACAACAACGCACACACAGGCACAACACGTAATACACACACATGCACAAGGCACGTTAAGGTGCTTAGTCTCTGAATATATATAATTTTGATAGTAACAAACAAGCCCATTTAAATTGAAAAGGAGCCCTAGGGAAACCAGAGATTCAGAACCTGAACCTGAGGAAATCTAGACTTGCTTTATTTAGGGCTTTAGCACTGCAGAGAGGGCTGGCAGTAGGGAAAATAATGTGGTTCAGGGACTGTGAGACAGACTAGGCAAGTGAAGGCGGACGAACTTTGTATGTGGACAATATGTAGCCAGACAGCACAACAACTACCACACACTCACGCGCGCGCACACGCACATGCACACACACAAACAAACACACACACATACAGTGTAAAGTAAAGGTGGGAGGACCTGTGGACTAGCAATGTGTAGCAGACAGCACAGACACTAAAGGACACCATCGGTGATCGAGGACAGTTGCCTAAGTTGCCTAACTTTGAGAGGATCTTCTATCGACCTTACAGCACAATATCCGGGAGCCTTGTGTTCTGCGGGTAAAGAGGGTCGCAGAGGAGAGATTATCAGTTGCATGAAAGGCCGACCACAGCTCGGACCTTGTCACGTGTCACGCGATGGAAATGGATTGCTATAATCACTTCGTTGTCGAACTGAATGGAAAGTCGATGTTTGTAGTTGATCCAGTTTGTAATCTGAAATAGAAGTGAGATGTTACATGGGTTTTAAGTAAAATCCAAAATTGTGATTGTGGGGTTTTCATATGCCAATCGTGGAAATTCTAAGGTATTTATGGAAACAGACGAATGGTTACGGAAACAGGCGAGGTTATCAGAAAGCTAGAAAATTACAAGAAAGGTTATAAAACTGGGTTATTGTACACGTGATAATACCAAGATACAATTAATGATATAAAGGTACAACAACAAGATCTAATACCAGAGTTATAACATTAAGTTACAACAAGTTACAGTGCCATTATATAACATGCTGGTTACCTATTAGCTACAACACGAAGCTATAATACTAATTAATATTAAGCTAGTTCTAATACCGAGTTATGATACAAGTTACAATACAATTTATAAACACAAACCTATAATACCATGTTACCAGACATGTTACAACACCATTGTATTATGAGCCAGTTATAATTCCGAGTTCCAATTCAAGTTACAAAGCAATTTAAAAACTGCAGAGAGGTCAAAGAAATCAAGATTATGCATCTTGGGCTCAATCCCTTGGCACAAAAATTACTAGCCTCCCTCAGATTCCTTAATATACATTATGCTTTCAGACAATGAACACATCAAATCTGTCACTAATATATAGCATTAAGACAACCCATAGAGAGTACAACGCACAAATTCACCGATTACAGTAAATTCATGAAATCAATTTAAACGCAGGCTGCACCCCGTCAGCGAGATAACGAGGTATTGAGACAATGTTGTTATCTGGCAGCGGTCTCCGAGATGTCACATAATATAGGATTTTGACGTACGGACGTCATGTTGGCTCTGCATGTGATAATCAGCCTGTCGGAAAGATCAACGATGATTGAAATCCGACAGTCGGTCCCTTACCAATCCTGACAAGACTGCAGCTAAATTGATAATAGAACGTGGCGTTTTGGTTAGTGTCTGTGGTAGGACATATTAGTTTCCAAACCGGGACTGACGATTTCAGAATTCGATCCATAAGCTGGAGGTAATTGTTAGTTAGTGAGGCGATTCTTGGGGCGCCGAGGGGAATCGGAAGTCAAGGTCACTTGTGACATGTTCCTGTAATTAAGGTTTTTCATTCAAGAGACGTTTCCTTTCTCAATGCATGAAGAGTTTGTTTCATGCAAATAAAGATTTTTTGTATAATGTTACAGAATGAAATTAAAAATAATAATTGGCGTCACAGAAAGTGAGAGTTCTCTCGGTACTGGGAACTGAGTTTCGGTGTGCCCCAGAAGTCCGAGATGTCACAATACGATTTGCAGAGTTGACTCCCTTTGCCACCAGGATGCGATTGGCGTGGGTTATATTTGCTACCTATTATGAGCCTTAATTGGATTGTACGGAGCGGAGCGTACATGACTCTGAGCTTTCTTGACGTATTAATCTGACGCCTCGTCGTGTGACAGAAATACTATTCACAGCGACGGTACCGAGCCCTTTGCATATTGTTTTTAAAAAAGCATCTATAAGAATCGTGTTTCTGATTGTTTTGTACAGTTTAGTTTGGAAGATGAATAATGGTGAAACGAAACTCTTGAAAGATCGTTGAAATCAGAGCAATGATACAAATAGATTCGTTGTTTTCACGTTTGAAATACGAGACAAACAACTTCTGTGTTCTGTGTACGTCAGCAGAGACCATATACTAGTATATGGTCACTGACGTCAGTAACCTCCTTGTAACCCAATAATGTCAACACGATCTATTTTGTATCAGTTGACATCTTCAGACGTCTTGGGTGCGTTTTTTGTCATATCAGTTCTCGGTCACTGAACCTGAGCAGCAATACCCGTTAGCTTTCGTGACTTTCGTATTGACCCGAAATATCGCGAGATGTTCCGAATGGAAATGGCGATGTATGTCTATTTGTATAATATGCTTTAAGCGAAAATTATTCGCAATGGATTTGTTTCATTTGTTTGTCACTATCTGTATGAAAATGTCTCAACAAAGCTGCTGTGGTAATTTAAAAAATAAACTGTTGACAATACATATCAGGTGTCTGGTCATTTATATCGAATAGGTCAAGGACTGAAAAGGGAGATAACCTCTACCGTCAGAGTTATGCTGATGAGACAACAGCCTGTGAATTGAGTTCGGACCTGGTGCAGATACGAATTTCCGATGGTATCGGCATCGGGTTGTCATCGACAGTGGAAGAATCGACCCAGACATCAAATACCATAATGGTTTGATGAGGATAGTTGGCCGAATATGAGAAAGGTATGAAACCTGAAGACGGAGAATACAAGAAATGTGTGTCAAATGTTTAATTCATATTGGGAATCGTACCTGTTACTTCAACAGAAGGAACCAACGCTGTAACCACTAGGCCACCGTACCGCCCCACCCCTACACATCCCACCCCGACCCCACCCCAGATTAACAAAAGGTGACACCAACTATGAGCCCTACAAAGAAGTCGAGGTGACCTATTCGAGCAAGTAATCGAAACTAAGCGTACACAATGGATAATAGGGGATTCCCTTTTCTAGCATAGTTAAAAATACAAAATCGATTTTGCGTTTCGGTATCGACAAATTGACATTTTCTTCGTTGAATTTTTAAAAAATGCCAATTATTTGAAAATAATTTTAACATCAAAGTGCTCTTTTCTAGTACGTTTTGAGTCCACATGAAGATTTCATTCAGTTGTGTTCAGGTGTAACATTCGGAAGGAAGGAACTCATTTATTTATCGACCTCCGCCATTGCTGTGTGGGAGGACGATATTTCTATGGAGATATAAATCTATAGCACGGTAAAGAATATATTAAGACTCATAACGGATGAGCTATTTGGTATTTGAAAAACACATAAAACGAAAAATGATATTATCGTACATTGTTGCGTAATGTGAAGAGAATGACGCAATATTGACGCATATATTTTCTCCGTAACATGTTTCTGTTGAAATACACTAAAAATACTCCGTAAAAAGAGTTAAACCCACTCTGTTTTGAGATCTGTGCAATGTTAACAGAATGGTGTTCGAGGTATTCCTGTTACACCTAGTCAGCAATAATCTCTGAGGCTTGAACTAATCACCGTGGTCGACCATGAGCCGATCGAGTACGATGTTCACCTTAAGTCTGAATTTCCATATACTTGGTGTCATAAAACTATCAGCTCGGTCTAGTGATGGTCGGTCTTCATGTAGTCGATGCGATGCGTGTTTGTCCATCACAGAACATGTTGACTGCTAGGAACACAAGTCCGTTCTCTCGTTATCTAGGCCGACACTGAGTGTGGATACATGTGTAATAGGAATCGACTGGATTATTAATGGCACAGGAAAGCTGTTACAGGCAGTAATGGCATACTGCTTTTCAACGAGGCAAATTTATGTTTTAAAAATCCTTTGGCTTTAAAGTATGGGTTGAGTATTTAATGTTGTTGTTGTTCTTCTTGTTGTTCTTCTTCTTCTTGTTGTTTAACGCAGCCCTCAGCAAGTTCCCAGAAGGCATTTCGGTTTAGAGCAGGTGATTGGTTGGCTGTAAAAGCCGCCTAAATAGATCAGGTGGTCAACATTGCTTGACATCCTACCTCGACAGTATTAATCATATCATTATCAACGGCAATACTGTCTGGTCCAGGCAAGAATATGTACAGGCACCCACAGGCCTGTCTTTGCGAGGATTAAAGATTACAGAAATATTGTTTTGAGATGACCCCC